GAAACACTGGGGCAGCTTCTAGAAAAGACTGATGCGGGGAGCGGGGCGGGGGGGCTGGCCTTGAGAGATTCTGTGGCCCCCTCACACAATCCTAAGCAAAACTGGATACGGGTGCGTGCGCCTCTGTGCACTTTTCTGGGCGCTTGGTTGGGGCCTCAGAGGGCAGTGTCCACAGCGATGGCGTAAGCCTGTGGGGAAGAGCTGTGGTTCTAGGCCTCCCCAGCCATCACACAGTATCTGCCCGCACAGACTGGCCTTCTCACCTCCGGGATCCCCAGATTTCTCTCCGGGCCCGCAGGGTTCAGTAATCAACACCCTGTTTGTTTCCTCAGCCGCGGGGACGATGTCCCGAACTACCAAAGCACGGACAAGAAAGGGCTTTGAAAAAGCCTCACCCCCTCTCCACAGGGGAGGGCCAGTTATTACAAGGTTAAGGAGGCTGTGGGTGGGGAGGTAACAGAGGCAGCGGGGAAACAGCACTACACATGGAGAAAAGGCCACGCGCGTTAACAAAGCAGCTCACAAATGAGAGCAAATTAATACAGGGCCCAGCGAGAACAGAACATTCGCACCGCAGGGGCAAAGCGCCCATTGGAGCAGCCAGGCCTTGGCAGGGGGATGGAAGAACGGCAGAGGGAGGGGGGACAGGGGCCAAGCGAGGGGGGTTTTCAGTGCTAGGGAGGCTTGCTCTGGCGAAGAGCAGAAGGTAACCGTGGGGAGGGGGGTACGGAATCGGTGCCCCCTTCAGGGACTAGTAGGAGGGAGGGTCCCTCCAGCCTCAGCACATTTGGCTTCATCCTCTGACAACTGGATCCAGACCATAAGGCGGAGGGTCACCAGGGCAGCTGCTGGTAACTACAGAGCCAGACCCCCCACTTCCTGCTGCTGCTTTCTTTTCCTGCCTTCTCTGAAACAACCAGGACCCACCTGACTCAGAGGCAAGGAGCCAGGCATTCCTCCGTTCAGGAAGCCCTTGACAAATCTTCACAGAGAAATGGCCAGGAAAGGGGGAGGGACATTGGACGCGACTGGAATCCTAGAGTAGGGTGATATTAAAAATATTGTGTTGCCCGTGTGGCATGGACACTGACCAGGCAGGATGAACTGCCCCTTGGAACTAGAACAGTGTTCCAGAGGGCCCCTACTGGCATTAACCTTTTCGTTGCTGGATCAGAAGGAGGCGGGGGGGGGGGGACCCGTCAGAGGGCACCGGAGGTGGTGGGGGCGGGGGGTGTTGAGTGATCACTAAGTCAGGAATGTACAATGTGAAGACGTGTGATGGTGGGACAGGCGTTCACTGGTAAGGTCAGCCCTGACCTGGGGCAGCTGGAATCAGTCCCGGAGGGCACCAGGGATTAACAGGCAGAGAGCTACTGCTGGGGATGTGAAGGGTCCTGTCTGCAAGATGGGGCGGGAGCAATGAACAAATTCTCCCTTTGTTCCCTGGCAAAGGTGGGTCGGACACTGGCTGCATTGTTGAACAGCAGGGCCAGGCTCATGCCCATAGCGCCAACCCTTGGCAACCATCTAGCTCTCACGCACACACAGTGCCATGCCCAGTGTTCTGGAATGAGGGCCCATGCTGGAGGAAACATCAGTCTACTTCAGTTCTATATAGCCTAGAATCTGAGCCTGAGAAGAATAGGAAGGGACCCTACAAATCACCTCTCTTTTGACATGTGGAGAGACCGAGATCTAGAAAGGGAAAGTGTAGGGCCATACATCTAATTAGCTCCAGAGCAGGGATGAACAGCAAGATGTCCCTGCTCCCAGCCCGGTGTATTTTCTATTGCTTTCTTTGCTATTATTCCAAGTCTTCATTATAGTTGAGGGAAAATGCCAGAATATCCTCAGGGCCAGCCTTACCCATAGGTAAACATGATGTGATCAAATATGTATCCTCAACTGCCTGTCACAGTGCCTGAAATTTCACCGTCGGTGAGTCTCTCCTTTGGAACTCGAAGCTTTCAGGTCTTTCAGGGGGATATAGGTGTGGGATTTATTGACAATCACCAAGAGCAAGCCTTTGCAAATTGGACTCGGATTATATCGCCGGAGGAGAGGAGTGGCAGCCGGCCCAGGGAAGGAGATTCGGGCTGAGGTAGGCATGGGGACTCAGAGTAAGGATCTGAATCCAGGGCCCAGGCCACCCTAGGGGGGGGGGGGGGGGGGAGGACAAAGAAGGAGTGTTCGGTATGCCCACACCCAAAGCTTCCATCACACCCTGGCTCGGGTGCTCAGGAAGCATTTCTCCAGGAGAGGGTACTGTGACCCAGGAGACCTGAATCACGGCTGTGTGGCCCACACAGGGGAGAAGGGCAGGAGAGTGAAGGATAACATCAGGCTGTCTGGAGTAGCCGCAGGGGCACTTTATTAAGAGGAGCAGCCTGGGTGAGATGGATGTGACAAGGGAATCTATGAAGACATGGAGAGGAGCCTCAGCGGCAAGAGGAATGGGCTCCAAGACTGCCAAGGGAGGCTGAGTGTGTGGAGTCGTCCTGTTCGGGGCCTCCCCCCAGGGACCTGCTGGGGGGAGGCACCCTGGCCCAAAGCTGGGCTCCTTTCTGTTGCCGCCTCTGACTTCCGTTCTTGTTTGGCTCCAGAGCCCGGCAGAGCAGCTCCGGACTTGGCTGGCCATGGAGCCCAGGCTCCTGAGCCCCTTCTTGTTCCTCATCAGTTCTAGCACTTTCTTAGGGAACGGGCTTCAGGGTGATGGTCTGGTGGGAAGCGGGAGAGGGAGGAAAGAAGCTATCGGATCCGTCTGGAAAGGGTTTGCCTGGTGTTTCCTTAGAGTCTGTGTTTACTTGGGGTAGCAGGGGGTCAGGGAGAGTGCTTGGGGGAACTTCGGCGATTTAGCTTGCATAGCAAGCACGGTATTGTAATTTAGACTGGAGGTCTGTTTAGGTTGGGGTGGCTTGCTGGGGTGAGCTGAGCCAGCCGAAGACCCTCCCAGAGGCTCCACTCGTTCTGTTGTAGATCGCAGCCAGCCAGGCCAACCCAGAACCCCTAGCTTCCCCGCAAAGAGAGCATCCACCCTCAAGGCCACCTTCGGGTGTCTGGCATAAGCCCCTTGCTTCCTAAAGGGGTGTCTCTGGAGGCCTCAAAGCGGTTTCTACCCAGACGCGTGTGGTCCTGGGCTGCGTGGGCTCCGGTGGGGGGAGGACGCCGCTGTTGCCAGGAATTAGAGACCCAGAGCCAAGACTGTCCCCTGGGTCCACTCAAGTCCCTCAAACAATCTCCCTGGCTTAAGGCCAGGCCATCACTAACCCGAGTGTCAGGGGCACTGCTGAGGGAGGACGATATTTTACAGAGCAGAGCCTCCTGCCCAGGTGCAGGATCGGTGCTTCGGGGAAGATGGAATTCAGGGCAATCAATTTGGGAGAGTCAGCCAGGAATTCTTTTAAGCTTTACTTCCCAGCAGCCTCGCTCCCACCTCGGAGAGGGACTAATCCCTGACATTTGTCTAGTGGCTTTATACTTTTCAAAGCTCCTTCACATCCATTATGTCCATTGAGCCTCACAAACACCCCAGTGAATGAGGACAGGAAGGTGTTATTACTCCTGTTTGACCAACAAGAAAGCTGAGGTCTCAAAAGGATGCATGACTCATCCAGGGTCACACAGCTGTTTAGTCAAAGAACTCCGACTTAAAATCTGTTTCCTAACTTCCAGCCCTGTGTGCGTCCCACCTCCCATAGGTGCGGACACCCCCAAAGAATTGTGGAGGTGCCCAGCACCTGGCATGGCGCCTGGCACATGATAGATGCTAATAAAAATTTGCTAAATGAATGACTGGGTGGATAAGCAGGAACGGGGCAGGGAGGAATACAAACTGCTCCTTTTTGTGATCAGAACGGAAGGACGGGAATACTGTGTTGTCTCATCGTTTTGGCCAGAAAGGAAGGAGTAAGAGATCGTCCCATTTCACAGATGTCATTGTCAAGGCAGGAAGACGAAGGTACCTCCCTTAGGGAAGCCACAAGGCTTAATCTCCCCACCGGCTGCTTTCTACTCACACCTGAAAGAGGAATGAGTGGTGTGGGCCCTCACTCCACGACCAGGAAGGAGTCACAATCAGCCCTATAGGAAGAGCACCCTCCGCACCCTGTCCCTGTGAGGCTCTTCTCCACCCCTCCCCTGCCAGAGGCTCCCTGAGAACACTGGCTGCTGGCTCCCTTAGGGCCTCTGCACCCCCCACCTTTGATCCTTCTAGCATAACCCAGACCTCACAGGCTCGGTGCCTCTCTCCTGTATGGCACCTGGACCAAGACTACCTCCTCTACCTTCTCCTGTGTCCCACAAGGCCTGGCACACAGTAGGTGACTTGTCTGGGGTAAAGAGGGATGGCCACTCCCTGGCACTAGGCACTGCAGACAGTAAGTATCCTGCCTCCCAGGGTCCCCGCCTCCGCCCTCCCCAGCAAACCGGCCTGGAGTTGCCACTTGTCCCTAGTCCTGTCACAGAAAGGGGGAAGCGGGAAGTGGAGACGCGGGTATTCCGATGCTGCTTTGCGGTAGCACAGAGTGGCTTTTGAGGCAGGCGGCAGCGAATCTGAGATCCCTCCGATTTCGAATGTTGCCCCCCACCCCCGACTTATTACTAGCCCGTGTATCTGGAGTTATTTGCTTCGCTCCCCTGGACGTCGGTTTTCATTTCTGTGAGCTGGGGAGGATGCCCGGGTGGGAATATGGATGTAGGGCACTGGATTATCCGCACGGCCCCTCCCCGGCTCCCCCGCGGGGGCCCCCCCGGCCAGAGGGAGGTGGGGGGGCTCCTCCGCGGCGGATTGCGGGCGGCCGAGAGGCAGCAGACGCCGTGCTTACCAGCGGCCTCGCTGGTTCGCCACCTCAGCCGCGGCTCTGGGGCCGAGCCAGTCGCCTCCTTCTTTAAGATTCTGCTCACAGCCGGGGCTGGGTTTCTAAGGCAGGCGTGATCTTTCTCTTCCTACAGACGCCGCTGCCGCTACGGTCGGCGCGGGGCACAGCCGGGGGCAGCGCGAGGGGAAGACGGCGACGGGGCTCCCGGGGCCGGGCAACCGCCCAGCCCCGGCCCGGAGAGGGCCCCGACAGTAAGTACGGCGCTCCGAGCAGCCGGGGTAGGGCTCGCCTGGGAAGGGGCCAGAAAGCGGGGCACCCGGCCGCGGAGGCTGGGGGCTGGAGGGGAGGGGCCGGGGGAAGGGGGTTGG